GCCGTTCAACGGCAGCTACCTCCTGGCGGTTCTGGAGAAAGTCTTCACGGAGTCTGACCAGCGCGATTTCAAGTCGGCTTTCGCCCGCAAGGCAAAAGCTGATTTAGTGGCGTACGAAGACTTGAAGGCGAAGAAGGAGTCTGAGCTGAATGAGCTCCTCACTCGACCATACGACGACATTATGATCGAGGAGTTCATCGAGCGACTCCCATGTCCACAGATCGAGGAGATCGAGGAGCCTCCCGCGGCTACTCAGATGGATACCTCCGAACCGTCGTCTGGATCCACGGACTTGCCACAGGGCAAGAAGGTTGATCCGGTTAAGACCGAGCCGACCGATGTGCCAATGGAGACTGAAGCTCCAGAAAGCTCTCCACAGGGAGAGGCATCTGGGGTTACTGTCGAGCCAATGGAGACGGACGCTCCGGAAAGCTCTCCACATGGGGAGGCATCTGGGGTGGATGTTCCACAACAGAAGACCGAAGCCACGGAAAGCTCTCCACAGGGAGAGGCATCCGAGGTGAAGGTCGAACCTGATGCGCACATGGGTCAGGAAGGAGGTAAGTCCGAGAACGTCGAAATGGCTGAGGAAGGCTCACCACAGGGTGAGGAATCCATGCCAGACATTTCTCCCGAGAAGGATGATGAAAGTGAACTTCACGATCAAGGCATCTGGGGGAAATGCAAGACCGTTCCGGATCCTGAGTACTACCAGGCCGCGAAGGATGCAGAGGACCAGAATGAGAACGCGTTCGACAAGATGGGCAAAGCAAAGGAAAAGATCGAGCTCGTCGATCTCGAAGAGTTCAAACATTTCCTTACGCAGCTCACCGAAATCGAACGACAAAGCCCTATGCGGATGCTCTGCAAGCAGCTGCATGGATATGGCTATTCAGGCTTGTATCATACAGGACTTCGTGATCCTGATTACGAGCCCGTTCTCGCCTACAAGGTGCAGCATATGAGTTGGAGGGTAAATGTTCCAAACCACAAGGGACAGAAATACTCTCTCTCTATGGTGGATCTATTCGACCAACTCAACAAGATGGATCCCATCTATGAGCGTCGTCCCGACAAGAAGAACGTTGCTTTTCGTTCTGGGGACGTTCGTAGCACCTTGGACGACAAGCTCATGGGCAAGGCCTCTGACATCCGAGAATCAGCACTGGAAGTCATGGAAGCACTTCTTGATAAGCTGAAGTCCCTGGATGCAAGCGGCAATCCGGCAACTCGAGAAGAACTTTTGAATGCTATGATTCACTACTTCTTGAGCGCCGGAGTCGATGAAGAGGAGATCGGGGACCTCTCTCTTGAGAAGACGCCGAATCCTTATATTCATCGTTTTGGTCTGGCAGAGGACTCCAATGTCCCTATCTTCACCAGCAAGACCAAGTATGCCGCGCTCATCCTCAATCTCGGCAACATGAGCAGGGGAAGAAAGCGTACCGCTCCTCGCTCCGTTGCTGATCACATTGACTGGGACGATGCTACACCATCTAAAGGAGCCTTGATAAAATCGATTGCACAGTCGAAGACGCATTTGTTCATGCTCTGCGAAGCGGCTCAGATCGATGACTCCGAAGAGGCCTTCCTCAAGTCACGCGGTTGGCAATTCCTTCGTAACGAGTCCAAGGACCTGATGGTGGGAAGTCGTACAAATGGTGTCGGATCTTCGATCACACGTCTTGCCGGCTCCACTCTCAGTGGATATGCCCACGAGTCCCTTCCAATAACCTATATGGTCGCGGAAATCGTGTATGGCATGACGTTACCGACCGGTCTCCAGGGCAGTCGTGGTGATGTTCCAGATGAGTCACTGACCAAGGTCTTGGAGCGAGCTGGATCCGACCGGCTGAGAGTTTGTGTCTTCCACCTCCACAACGACGCGGCGGCAGACAAGGTGGCGTTGGCTCATGAAGTGTTGGGCAACATGTTCATCGACTGCCTGCACTACCAAGTCGACCTCATCGGTGGCGACGCCAACATGGCCCTCTACCGGGCCACCGGCAGAAAGCAGGAGTCGATGGATATTCGTGGCGGGATGTACCAAAGCCTTCTCGACTACTTCTTGGAGGCATGGTCAGAAAGCCCAAAGTGCCCACACCTCTGTTCGCCTCGTGCGAGACATGTGTCAGCAAACGCCATGTGGCTTCTGAAACAGTATGAGGACACGCTGGGAATGCCATACAAGGAAGCTAAGCAACCAGACTGGAATACCTTTCCTGGTTTGGATCCTGTTATGGCTACAGTCATGGAATGGGGACACAGCATGTCGGACGATCAATGGGCGGAGTTTCCGTCTTCAAAGAATGAGTTCGACATCCATGTCTCTGAGTGGCTGTTAAACTCCACCAGCGCCGCGTACCTTCTCAACGATCGGGACTATGACGCTCACACTCCGCTCCTCATCGAGGTTCACGCGAACCAGTACTCTGGAGGCAGGATGAGAGCGCTCAACCGCAATCCCGACACCATGAAGGAAGCCGCGGACAGAAGAAAAGAGAGACAGAAGCTGAACAAGGCGCGTGGTTCTGGTTCTACTGGTCCTGCAGCCGCACCACAGGGAGCAAGCTCTTCTCAGGAAGAGGCAGCTGCTGGTGCTAAAGCTTCTGGTTCTCAACGTCCTCCAGAACCCGCACAACCTCCTGGTGGCAAAGAAGGCGGCAAAGGAGGCAAGTCCTCCAAAGGAAAAGGGAAGGACGCCGACAAGGGCAAGTCCAAAGGCAAATCCAAGGACAAGTCCAAGGGCAAGAACAAGGGGAAGAACTGACTAGGTTCCGATTCTTCGGACGTGGATATGGACAATGGTTCTGAAGAAGTTCCTTTGGAACAAGTTGGAGACGTTGCTCCAGATCCACAGATATCGCTACCTAGATCCCCTGCTGATCCCCGCGGTTACGACCCTGTTCGTCATCAGCCGGTGATGCCGATTCACACTGTCGACATCTACCGTTGGCATGGTGAGGATCATTGGCGTGATAGAACCTGGGATGCAGACCTAGAGTTCGTCGACTGAACTGGCTGTGTGTTTCACGGAATGCTTCTTTCATAAGAAGGTATCCACTTTGAGCATTCGCCATTTCATAGGGAGATGCTTTTCTCAGGAAAAGGTACTTCCTAAAGAACTCTTTCTCAAAGGAAGATACTTATCTCAGGATAAGATACTTCTAATGCCCTTATATATTTGCCTTGCCGCAAGATGTCATGCTGGCATCAAGTAAAGCTAAGCTTTACACCTTTATGTTACAGTATGCTTTCCGCCTGGAGGGGGAACTGAAACACAAGTGGGCAACTTTCAAGCAAAAGTTTTCAGTTGAAGATCCGTTTGCGTTTCGTGCGTGTTCTGCTCTTTTCATTGAAGCTGTCTTCGGGCTAGAGATGTATAGATTCTCTTCAAGTCGCAGATGTAGCTCAATACTCCGCTAATTCGACCAAGAGCAATAACAGGCTTGTAGATTGCCGACTCCACGGCCATGCAGCTCTACGTGTTTTAAATTTGTGCCTGGTTGAAACACTGAATGTTACACATCCAGGTGCCTGTCTGTTTCACGTATCACTTGCATGTATCCATGCCTGTTGCTCAAGGTTCTAGTGCAGTGGACTACAGCTGTGCGCCTGTAGCAAAAGAGACACCTGAGTGCCTGTGTTCCTGTACGCCTAGCGAGGGGATACACGTCCAGGTTACATCTCAGGGGGGGAGGGGAGGGGGGGGGAGGGGGGGGGAGGAGGGGAAGCGAAGAAAATTGGGTGGGACTGCCTGCAGAAGGGGGGGGGGGGTGGTGGCCAGGATTTTGGGGGTGGGGTCACTGGGGAGGGGATTAAGAGGTGGGGAATAGGATCCGAATAGGAACCTCTGACCGCTTCGGCCGGGGCCGAGGCGAATTTTTGCTAGGGTTCTAAGTTCAGTACAGGTTCCTACTTCTTCTCTGAGCTGAAAAACCTCGGGGCAATCAGAGGAATCTTTTGGACAGTCTTCGCCACCTCAGCTTTGGCGATGTTGCTGACAGCCCTGAGCACTCCCTACTACAACGGGAACACGCTGGACGAGGCTGACGAGCTGGCTCGCGATGGAAAGCCGAGGCAGGCCGTGAAGATGCTCTACAGTGGTCCCATCACGAACCAAGATCGGACGAAGGGTGCCGAATATGTGTCCGATGACTTGTCTGACGAGCAGAGCGCATGAAACTGAGTGCAGGGAACAGCAGGAATCTTGATCAGCAAGGGTGCTCCTGCTCTACAAAGCGACATCCTTTGCGTATTTGTTCTACTTCCCAAGCCTTCGGCACGGATCAGTTCCGTGCCGATGTCGGGTTGTCTTTGGGCCTTGCAAAAAAGCAAGTGCTGCAAGAATGAGATTTTGTACATGCGAAAGATGCTATGTAATTCAAAATCCTGTCGCTGCATCCAATCTTGGAAGATGGTGGCCAGGCGCGAGAAGCTGTTAAACCAGTTCTCAAGCAAGGCCGAAACCTTGAAATGGCCACAATGGCCGGTGTGTGCAGGTAGCACAGGATTTTCCGCTGCAGCCGCTCAAAAACATTGTGTGCGAAGGATGTGAGCCTCCAGCATTCACTGGCTCTGCCGGGCCATGCTGACGCTCATCAATGTCTACGCCAATGATCATCTTATCTCGTAAGAGTCCGTGACCCATAGCGCCTATATAAGGCCCTGTAGAACCTGTATGCAAACCTAACAGACACCCATGGAACCTTTGCGGGACATGTGAAAAACGCCCTAGAGACTTTTAAGCGCCAAACCCAATGTCAAAACAAAACACTGAACCCTGACCGCCATAAGCCCACATTTCTAAAGACATCCTTCGACGCACCCCAATTAAAACCCCAAATCCTAAGCCTCAAACCCCAAACCCCTACACCCTAGACCCAAAACCCCTGCAATTCCAGCCCTAAACTCCTAAACCCCTAAACCCTGAAACCCTAAACCCCTAAACCCCTACACCCCTACACCCTAGACTCGAAAACCCTGCAATTCCCGCGGAGGAGGCTCGGACCTCGCTTTCTTGGACTCTCCGCCCACACGGCTTCAGCTCCTCGGAGCAGGGAGGCATCATGTTTTCTTCTCTTATATACATAAACAAATAAGTATGTGTATATATATATATATATATGCTCACCCCCCCCCCCCATGACAGACCGTCGTGGGGAAGGGGAAGGGTGGCGTGCGTCCCCAGGCAGGATCTGTCAACGGATAGGCGACAGACACTTCTCCCAAACTCAATTCCAAAATGTTCTTTTAGATGGTTTGCAATTTTTGGAAATTTCTTCACATGCATGCAGCGCTCATAGTCCCAATCTTAATCTCAATTCTGCTCTTCGTACCACTATTACTGTTTGTAGATCTTAATTCTTGTATCAGTGTTAGCATTAGTATTAGTTTTGTGGTAGTATTGATATTAGGATGTTTAGTATTAGTAATAGTATTCGAATTAGTATTACTCTTAGTATTAGCATTAAGTATGTGTACTGATGTTAATAGTAGTAGTCGTCGTACTAGCAATAGTTGTCGCACAGTAGTAGTAGTGGTAGCATTAGTATTGGTATGAGTATTAGTATGAGTATTAGTATTAGTATTAGTGACTAGTATGAGTATCAGTATTAGTTTTAGTATTAAGTATGTGTACTAGTAGTAGTAGTAGTAGTAGTAGTAGTAGTAGTAGTAGTAGTAGTAGTAGTCGTAGTAGTAGCAGTAGTAGTAGCAGCAGTAGTGGTGACATTAGTAGTGGTATGAATATGAGTATTAGAATTAGTAGCTAGTATTAGTACTAGTATTAGTGTTAGGATTAATATGTATTGTTCTTGGTTCTATTCTTAGTACTGCTGTCATTGTTCGTAGTAGTCCTAATCCTGGTATCAGTGTTCATATGAGTAATAGTTTTGTGGTAGTATTGATATTAGGATGGGTATTGCTTTAGTACTAGTATTGGTATTGGTATTTAGTATTAGTATTAGCATCAGTATTAGTATTAGTATTGAATAAAAGTATACATATCAATAATAGTAAATATGAACTCGTGATTATGTTCGTGCTGGTGTTAGTGCCAGTGTCGATGTCAATGTCAGTAATAGTACTCGTGTTAGTATTAGTATCAGTCTGAATGCTGGTTTTAGTATTTGTTTATTATTCACAGAAGTGCTGGTATTAGTATCAGTAATAGAAATAGTTTTGATATGTGAATATACTGATTGATTCGTACATTTTGAGCTTAATATAATAATACAGTAATGTATTCGAACAATAGTATATTTGCAGAGTTGAAGATTGCGCGAATAGATTAGTACGTTGGTGCATGAGTACATTAGTATATTGGTGTATCATGATATTCGTATGTTAACGTAGTAGTATATTAGTATATTATTATAGTGGTCTATTACTACATTTACTATATTCGTATTTTACCTAATAGCTTATAGGTATATCAATATGTTGGCATAATGGCATGTGAACATATCAGTGTACTTGCCTTTTACAGTATTCGTATATTAGTACACTAGCATATTTAGTGATAATTAGTGTTAACGCCAGTGCCAATGTCGATGTCAGTTTTAATCAGTCTTAATGATGAATTTAACATCAGTGTAATATTCGCGGACGTGCTGGTATGCGTATCAATACTATAATTAGTTTTGATATATTAGTATACTGATAGGTTATATAAACAGCTTAGTATACCAACACATTATAATGTATTCGAACAGTAATATGTTTGTATACCTGTATGTTTGTATGCTCTTAGTATATTAATGCATGCGTACGTTCGTGCATGAGTACATTAGTATATTGGTGTGCTATTATCTTCGATTATTAACATATTAGTGTATGAGTATCATGGTATGCTACTTCATTTATCATATTCGTATATTATCTAACAACTTTTTTGGTATATCCATATGTTAGTATACCATTGCCATGTGTCAGTGTACTTGCATATTACAGTATTCGTGTCATAGCAAGTTAGCATATCAATACAGTATAATCAGACGTTAACAAGTAGTATATTGTCACGTTGGAAACTGGGTATATGACAAATTAAATACGAATATACTACGTTAGTACACGAATGCAGTGACATATTTGCTTTTCAGATAGTGGTATGTAGATCTGCGGACATTAGTATACGCAGGTGTCTGTTAGTATTGGCATTAATATCAATATGAATATGACTATTGGTAGGAATAGGAGTATTAATGTTAATAATAGTATTAGTAATGTGCATATTCGTAATAAAAGCATTAATATAAATGTCAACGTTAGTGTTAAAAGCACTACACAGTAATCTTACTTGAGTCATATATAGAACAGATTCCAGCATTTCCAAAATTTCCAAAATTTCCAAAATTCTCTCCCCTAACTTTCCGGATTTCCAAAATTTCCAAAATTTCCAAAATTTCCAAAATTTCCAAAATTTCCAAAATTTCCAAAATTTCCAAAAATTCCAAAATTTCCAAAATTTCCAAAATTTCTAAAATTTCCAAAATTTCCAAAATTTCCAAAATTTCCAAAATTTCCCGACCTAGTCGACAGGATTTTTCCAAAACATAAGGGCGGACTTTTTGGAAATTTTGGAAATTTTGGAAATCCGGAAAGTTAGGGGAGAGAATTTTGGAAATTTTGGAAATTTTGGAAATGCTGGAATCTGCTCTATATATGACTCAAGTAAGATTACTGTGGAGTGCTTACTAGGCTTACTATGTAGTGTATCAGCACAACCCTCATCCATACACGTGTGCTCTGTAATTCCTTTCTTGGTAGGACACCCGCGCGCCTTATCGTGCTGCTGTCTGGTCTCAGTCTTTTGGTGGTTCCAGGGATACGTTCGGAGGGCTCAAACTCGATACCCCGGAAAAAGCACGAACACGCCGGTGGGAGCGATGTTTTGAAGAGGATGGTCTGTCATGGGGGGGGGTGACCATATATATATATATATGTATGTATGTATGTATGTATGTGTGTATGTATGTATGTATGTATGTATGTATGTATATGTGTATATATGTGTATATATATATAGTTACATATTTATAGAGATATATAGATGCATAGATATGTAGATATATAGATATATATATATATATATAGATATACAGATATACAGATATACAGATATACAGATATATAGATATATAGATATATAGATATATAGATATATAGATATATAGATATATAGATATATAGATATATAGATATATAGATATATAGATATATAGATATATAGATATGTGTTTTTTGGGAGGAGCGGAGGTGTTTAGAGTTGTGCTTCTTTTCTGTGGTGTTTTTTGGGCTCTATATGTCTATTTAAACAGTTAGATAGATGCAGAGATAGCAAGATAGAGATAGATAGATAGATAGGTAGATAGGTCGATAGAGTTTTTACACGATGGTGAATGCTGTTTCATGGTTTGGAATGAGATTATATAGGTTTACAAAAGCAGCTTTTTTTTTGCGAGGGTGTTGCAAGGGCTTGGGGGTGTCGGGCCAAGGGGTCTAGGGTTGAGATGCGAAGGTTCGCGGTTTTCGCGGCTCTCCCTTTACCCTTTGCCCTTCCCTGGGCATCAAAATAGCCCCAAAAGCCTTATATAGTCGGTTCAGGGTTGAGGGTTTAGGGTTTAGGGATAGTATGGTCTTGGGGCCCAAAAGCCTTAATATATGAGTCCTTAGGTGCCTCGGGCTTTACCTTTAATAACCCGCCCCCAAACATGAACGCCCTCAGCCCGTTTTGCTAGAACCCTTGTAGAGCCCTTGTTGGAGGCTATATAGGTCCTTAAGGCAGCCCCTTAAGCCCTTAACCCTGATCCCTAAACCCCTACATAGACCCTAAACCCTAAAACCGAACCCATAGACCCTGAGCCCTAAACCCTAAAACCCTAAAACCCTAAAACCCTAAAACCCCAAACCCTAAAACTTTAAAACCCTACAACCCCAAACCCTAAAACTTTAAAACCCTAAAACCCCAAACCCTACATCCTCAGAAGCCCCTCGAGGTCTCCTCGGGGACCACAGCTCGTGGACCTTCGAGGCTATGCGCGCGGAGCCCGACGGATCCTTCAGCGCTGAGATGCAGCTCCTCAAGGCCAAAATCTTGGAGAAATTTTGGGGGTTAGTTTAGGGTTTCTTTGAAGGGATCTATAAGGGTTCTAGAAAGGATCTGCGGGGGTTTAGGGTTTTGTAGGGTATGGGGTTTGGGCGTTTAGGGTTCCTTTAAATGGGTCTGTAAGGGTTCTAGAAAGGATCGCTTAAGGCCGAAGCCTTTGAGGGGTGGATCGCCTTTTATAGAGGCTGTGCGTTTTTCGATTCAGGTGCCGCTCACGGCATGCCAACATTCGGCATGACAAGACGAGGAACACAACGAACAAGGTTCACAACTAAAGTTACATGACAGCCCTCCTAGGCCCACTAACCCTAAACTTCCAAACCCAAAGGCCCTAAACCCTAAACTGTAAACCCTGAACCCACAATAACGCCTGAGCATTCAAATCCTCGAATCTCAACCCCTAAACCCTAAACCTTCAACCTCACGGCATCCCAAACCCAAAGCACAAGACCATCCCAAAGCTTAAATCCTAAACTATTTGATCCTAGATCATGTCAAAAACCTCAGCCCTAAACCCCTTAGACCTACAGCCTAAACCCTAGATCCTAAACCCTAGGCCTCAAACTTGCAGCCCTAAACTAAACCCCAAGCATTAAACCTGAAACCCTAAGCTAACCCCTAAGCCTTAAACTTGAAACCGTAAATAAAACCCTAAGCCTTAAACCTGAAACCCTAAACAAAACCCCAAGCCTTAAACTTGAAACCGTAAACAAAACCCTAAGCCTTAAACCTGAAACCCCAAACAAAACCCCAAGCCTTAAACTTGAATCCGTAGACTAAACCCTAAGCCTTAAACCTGAAACCCTAAACAAAACCCCAAGCCTTAAACTTGAAACCGTAGACTAAACCCTAAGCCTTAAACCTGAAACCCTAAACAAAACTCTACCTAAGCCTTAAACTTGAAACCTTAAACTAAACCCTAAGCCCTAAACCCGGAACTTCAAACTAAACCTTAACCAAGAGCCTTAAGCTGAACTCTAAGCAATAAGCCTGAAACCCTAAACCCTAAACCCTAAGCCCTAAACCCTAAGCCCTAAACCCTAAACCCTAAACCCTAAGCCTGAAACCCTGAGCCTGCCTAGAGGCCCTAAACGAAAATCCCATAACTAAATCTCACAGAGCCCAAACCCTAAATCCTCATGTTCCGGCCGGCAGTCTAGGGCAGGGCATCGATTCCTTCAGGTGTGCTTTTTTGGGGGGATTACCGTCGAGCGTCGCGTTCCGTACTGTGACGATGGCCAGGGATGCCCTAAGCCCTAACCCCTAACCCCTAAACCGCCTAAACCCTAAACCCTAAACCCTAAACCCTACCTAAGCCCCAACCCCTAACCCCTAAACCCTAAACCCTAAACCCCTAAACCCTAAACCGCCTAAACCCTAAACCATCCTAAACCCGAAACCTTCAATCTGAACCCCCACACTACACCGTAAGCCTTGAGCCTGAAACCCCAAGCCCAGCCAGAGGCACCTGAATCCCCTTAAGGGAATCCCAGCCCTAAACCCTAAACCCTAAACCTTAAACCCTAAGCCCAAAACCCTGAACTTGAATCTCCCAGGCCCAAATTCCTACATAGGGGCCTTGATAACATAGTACTTAGAAGCTGCCCTTCAGGGATCCCTTAAAGGACCCTAAGTCCCAGCGGGAGGCCCTCAGCAACTTCCAAATCTTCCGGGACGAAGACTTCGAGCAGGGCATGTATCCAGCTGCTGGCTGAAAATAGGGGTTCCCTTAAAGGGGTCCCCTTAACCCTAGGCATCTAAGGACTCATATATTGAAGCTTTTGGGCCCAAAGACCATACTATATAAGGCTTTTGGGCTATTTTGATGCGCAGGGTAAGGGGATCTAGAGAGGGGTCCCTAGAGGGGTCCTTTTAACGGGATCTATAGGGGCCCCCTTAAAAGGATTATTGAGAACCCTTGAAGGGATCTATAGGGGCTCCTTTAAAGGGATCTATAGAGGAGTCCCCTTCAAGGGATCCATCAGAGTTCTGTTCTTCGGTCTTCTCTGGGTTGAAACACGGGTTTAGGGTTCCCTTCAACGGATCTGTACGGGGTTCCTTTAAAGCTTTAAAGGGATCCAGAAGTAAGGGTTCTATCAGGGATCTATAGGGTTTAGGGTTTAGGGGTTTCGGGTTAAGGGTTTTGTGGGTTTAGGGTTTTACGGTTTTACGGTTTTATGGTTTTAGGGTTTTGGGGTTTGGGAGTTTAGGGCTTAAAAGTTTTTCAGTCTAGGGATTGGCTTCTAAGGCATGCGGTTTCGGATCCAGGTTGCGCAGAATCGCGAAGAAGGAGCTTCCAACATGATTCCGTCGGGTTCCCGGATTTATTTGGTCTCTATGTTACGGGCAGGCAGCCTAGGGCCGAACCACTAAACCCCCAAAACCCCCCCAAAACCCATAGACCCCTAAACCCGTAAACCCCTAAACCCTAAACCCTTAAACCCTAAACCCCAAACCCCGAAACCCCTAAACCCCTAAACCCCTACACCTTTACACCCCTAAACCCCCCCAAAGTTCCGGACCTTCCTGCAGGCACACGAGGCCATGAAGAGGGTGGCAGGCAGGAGTCGCGTTTCTGTTGTGAGTAGGGTTATAGGTACCTTAATTGGGGGGTATAAGTATAGTTACCTTACTTAAAACCCTAGTTACTAAGTTCCATGATCCTCTAAGTATGCCATGCTTGAAGGCTCCAGCGCCTGGGGTTGAGGGCTCCAGGACAGTTGGCTTACAGGTTCGGGTTTAAGGTTAGCAGCTAGCTATCTGCGTAGATATCCTTGATGGTCACCCTCAATACCGAGTCCGGATCCTTTAAGTATCTTCAGAGTCTCAACACAGTTAGCACTAGATTTCCACATATACTGTCTAGGCTTTTGCAAACAGTATAGGGCCCCAAATTAGGGGATCTACTTTCCAGATCCTCCCGGAATTTTGGGAGCCCGCCAGAAGCATGGGAGGCATGGCCGCCTTGGATGCTGGGAAAGTGGAGATGAGTGGGAAGGCTTGGGTTTAGGGCTTTAGGGTTTAGGGTTTTAGGGATTTAGGGGGTTTATAGGGTGCAGGGTTGAGGGGTTTAGAGGTTTGGGGGTTAAGGGCTCTAGGGTTTAAGGTTTTAAGGGTTGAGGGGTTTAGGGCTTCAGGGTAGGGTTTAGGGGTTTAGGGGTTAGGGTAGGTGTTTGAGAGGTTTTTGCAGGTTCATTCGTAGCTATGCGTGGGGGTGATAAGTAGGGTTCCTTGACAGGCTTCCTTTTAGGGTTAAGGGTTTAGGGTTTAGGGTTTAGGGTTTAGGGTTTAGGGTTTAGGGAATAGGGGTTCATAATTCTAGGGTTGTCATAAGTGGGAGTCGGTTTGTAATAAGTAGACAAACTATAAATATGGTCCATATTACTGTAGTGGACTTGTAACTCTACTTAAAACTGCCCATGAGCCTCCAAGCAGAACTGAGTAAGAATTCCCAGAGGTTTCGGGTTTACGGTCTAGGGTTAAGGAGTTTAGGTTAGAAGCTGCCCCCACCCTGTAATAGTGGCTATAAGGATTATATTAGGGCCCTATTATATCCATATTATACCACTATTACAGGGTGGGGGCAGCTTCTAATGTTTAGGGTTCATGTTTTCTGGTTAATGAGTTTAGGATTTCGGGTTTAGTTAGGGCCCAGATACAAGCTTTGACGCACAGGCTAGGCATGTATTCTGTGAATCATGGGTATCATGCTGTCTACACTTAAAGGGAAGGTACTTAACCCGTAAAGCATAAGTTGTCAGGTGGTTCAGGGTGACGGATGCTGTAAGGTTTAGGGTATGAACCTGATTAAGAAAGCTTACTATTTTGGGGTTGTAGGCCCAGGGTTTCTTCATCAGGTTCCTGCATTAGGGTTTAGGGTTTTGGATGGTCTACGCTAAACCCTACTTGGAGGATCATGGGACAAAGTAAGTAAGGTGATAAGTACCTTAATTGGGGTTATAAGAGTTATAAGTGTAGTTACCCTAATTATAACCCTAGCTACTAAGTACCATGATCATTTAAGTAGGGTTTAGGTATTTATCTCCTGGGGCTCACCGGCACCCGATTCCTGGACCTTCTGCCAAGGCCAGCCAAGGTCTAAAACCCAACTCGCGCTTCCAAAATCTATCTGAAATCTCACCGGTTCTTGAACATGATCAAGAGTTGAGGGCTTAGGGTTTAGGGTTTAGGGTTTAGGGGTTTAGGGGTTTAGGGGTTTAGGGTTTAGGGTTCAATAATTTAAGTGTTTCTAAAGCCTTGGGGTTCTGATTCAGGTTCTTGAAAATAATTGCAATGTACATGCTTCTAAAGCCTTAGGGTTCTGTTTCAGCCTCTACATTACAAGTTCTGCCAGGACGTCCTTGGCCCGGACCCACACGGTGACGGCCTGAACTTCCAGGCACGATCCATTGAAGTGCCGGTGCCTCCGCCAGAGCCCTCTTGTCGTACTAGTAGTAGTTGTTGTTATCAAGGCTTTTAGTGTCATATTGGGTACCTTTTCAAAGCAACATGATTGAAGATTTTAAGATGCATAGTGTGCCGAACTCGCTATTTCTAAAGTCCCTTATCAGAGGCTGCATTACAGTGTTTGTGTAGGGCTTCATGAGCGGTTCACAGGGATATTCCTTTACGGTAGGACCATGGTTTTCTTGCCATCATGGTTGTTACCTGTAAGTGGTCTTGTTCCGTCGGGTGTTGTCTTTGCTGGCGGGATATTTCGGTTGTTTGTCTTGGTTTCGCGTTCCTGCAGCGAATGTCACTATCGTCACCATGACTATCATCGCCATCGTCATCATCATTGTCAGACAATGGTCATCATCCTCACTACTATCACCACCATCTTCGTCATCATCAGCATCAAAATCACCCATTCAGTTCACATCATCACCATGACGCTGATCTATGTGAGCACCATCCTCAACAACATCTTCTTCCTTTTAATCAACGCCATGGCCATCAACGTTCTCGTCATCATCATGACAATCGTCATCATCACCATCACCATCTTCATCCTCATCATCATCAACACCATTATCACCACCATCATCAATATCGTCCATATCATAATCATCAACACCGTCAATAGTATCACCGTACGTAAACACCTCCGAACTCGTTACAGTCACTGCAAATACCATTGTTGCACTGACCACCATTAGCATCACCAGCAGCATCGTTATCAAAATCATCGTCATCGGCATCATCAGCATCACCATCACCATCATCGTCATCATCATCGTCGTCGGAATCACCATCATCACCTTCACCATCCATCATCCATCACCACCGTCATCACCATGATAACAGCAAGCATTCCGAAATCGTGAACCCTCAACCTAAACCCGCTTGAAACGCTAAGGCATCAAAGCCCAAAGCAGGCTCTCCTTCAAAAGTCATTCAAACCCTTGAAAACAAATGTGAAATTCCGAAAATTAGGGGTACCTTATTTAGGGGTCCTTATAATAAGGATCCTCCTATTTAAGGTTCTATATTAGGGTCCCCTATTTTCGGAAACTCCCAAATCGAAACAAAACTTTTTGTAGGAACCCTTAAAACAACCGCCACAGGAACTCGTTACAGGAGCCCTGTATAGACACCCCTTCTAGGAACCACGTTAAAAAGCAACCCCCAAACCCCAAACCCCTGGCCCCTAACCCCTAAACCCTAAACCCCAAAATCCTCAACCGCAAAACGCAAAATCCTCTACTCCTGCACCCTTAGCCCCTAAACCCCAAAACCCTCAACCCCCAAACACAACACCCTACATTCCTGAGCCCTTATCTCCTTAAACCCTTAAAACCCCCGGAGGTCGCCGGCGAGGTTGGGTCCCTTTTCCGAGCCTTGACTTTGGATTTTTGCTATTTTTTTTCTTGGCGGGGGGGGGGGGGTCGGAGCTATGAGCTCCTTTAAAGGACCCGTTCTAAAGGGACGCTTTCAAGGAGCCCTTAAAGGGACCCTTTCAAAAGACCCTTCAAATGGAAACCCTTTAAAGGAGCCCTTTAAGGGAACCCTCAAAGGGTTCCTAAAGGAACCCATAACGGAATCCGTTCAGGGCAACTCTTAAAGGATCCCGTTAAAGGAGCCCTTGGAGAGGCTTCAAAGGATCCTTTAAGACGCTTCAAAGGGTTCCTTCAAAGGGTTCCTTTAAAGGTTTCTGGGGTTTAGGGATCGTTTATGTTGTCTAAAGGGGTCCTTAAAGTGTACTCGTTTCGGTATGTAGACGATGTGTACTTATTGGTGAGGGCTACTATGAGAGGGAGATAGGGGGTTCGTTCGGGTCCCTTGAGGGTGCATCCCGGCTGAAACCCCGAAGACTGCGTTTCAAGAAGCACAGGGAGACGGTAGGGAAGTTTATGAAACCTTTATAGACAAGCAGCCCAAAACCTCGAGTTTAAACCCCAAAGCCCGCACCCTAAACCCTGCAACCCGAGCCACCCTGAAGTTTATCTAGGGTCCGAAGCAGACTGGTTACGGGTTAGGGTTTACAGTTTGGACCACACCCCAGACCCCCGGGAGCATCCAAAAAGTCGATCCCCTAATTTGGGGCCCTATACTACTAAGGGGTACTGTACAGGAACCCCCATTAAGGGATCTACTTTTCGAAGAGTGATGCTTGATAGCGGGACGACCACCAAAGCACGAAACGGACAGCCGAAAGCCGAAGAAAGAAATGTGCCGGCCATAGACAGCACTCAGAAAGAACTCCAGAGCCGAAGCCCCAAAATGAACAGCCTATAGTGAACCGGAGAAAGTTGGAACATAGATTTAGGATGCTTCGTGCTGGGATTCCCTATACTTTAGGGGCATGCGGCTAGTGATGTTCCAACTTTCTGGCTTCTGCTGTAGATTATCATAGATTCGATCCCTAAGCCCTAAACCCTAAACCCTAAACCCTAAATTTTCAAGTTAGACTCCAAGCAGTGAGCCCCATCCCAACCTGCGATAGCCACATGGGTGGTTGTCAAAATTTGGGTCCCGTTTCGGGTCCCCAGTATAATACAGCACCTCATAGTTAGGGTACCCAAAAAAGGGACCATAATTTTGACAACCACTGACATAAGACACAACCACCAATCATTAAAGCTCGCAGACAGACCGTGCAAAAGCCATGCACCATCCTATAAAACTTTGTGATCGTCGTGTGCGAATCCGTTCCTTTGCAACCCTTCCGAAGCCGAAGTTTAGATCTCGGGCTTAGATTCTAAACCCGAAACCCTCACCTGTGAACTTAACCCTAAACCCCAGTCTAGGGCCCTAAGCCCGTAAACCCTAAAGGAGCCCTTAAAGATCCAAGTTTCCCTCACCCTAAACCTTAGCAAAAGCTCTTTCGCCTCCCAGCCCCAAACCCTGAAGCCCTGAACCCTAACCCTAAACCCCAACCTAAACCCCAACCTAAACCCTAAACCCCAACCTAAACCCTAAACCCTAAACCCTAAACCCTAAACCCTAACCCTAAACCCGAACCTAAACCCTAAACCCTAACCTAAACCCTAAAGCCTAGCCTAAACCCTAGCCCAAGCTCTCAACCCCTAAATCCTGAAGCCCTGGACTGAGGACTCAGCTTGCGGATGTCAGCTGGATGCATTCGGTTGGGGTAGTTACAAGGGTTCCTTTAAGGGTCTCTTTAAAGGGGTCTATAGGGATTCTATAGGGGTATAGGGTTTAGGGCCTACTTGTTGGAGCTTCATGGATAGTTATAAGTGGGGTTGTAGCTAAGGTAACTGTAATTATAACCCATATTCGGGGACTTCTAACTCCACTTATAAGTACACATGAACCTCCAAGTAGTGCTAATTTTGTTGGGCTTGAGGCTTTAGGGTTTCGGGCAGGGATTATGATTTGGGCAGAAGAGCTGAGGGTTTAGAGCTCGGGGTTCCGGCGGGGTTTAAGGTTTAGGGTTTAGAGTTTCAGTATTTTCTTTTGTCTTTGGACAGGCTATGGAGGGTTCCGAAGAGATTTTTCTTCCTAGCGTTTAGGCAGGGCTTCCGCAGACTTCTGCGGTGTTCGACACTGCCTGAGATTGTAGTAGCGATCAATGTGTATATAGGGCTTCGAAGGTCAAATCGATCCTGACGGGTCTTGGTCATTGTGGCTCCTTGGGCAAAGCAGCACCGTCTTTGTGGTATCTGCTTTAATCAGGAGCCGCTACACCCAACGCCGAGTTAATCGCAGCCTGACGGCTTTTATCCGAAAGGTCTGTTTCATGCCTCCGTGATAGACTTTGTCGTGCATTGCGTGCAGTCGCTTGTTCCGTGAGCACCTGGGGCTATCTCAGCCCTTGCGTGTTGCACAAGGAGGGGTGCGCTTGGCGTCAGTGGCGCGTGCAAGAGATGTAGCAAGAAGTAGCTGTGCCGTCCAGACACATGCAAGCAGCTTTTCATGTGATGCGAGGCTTCACACGGGAGCGGCAGCAAAGTGAGCCAAGTAATTCGCAGGCTGACGGAGTTCGTCCGACAAGCCTGTCTCATGCCTTGGCGACAACTGCTGTGAGGACCGTGATCCCTACATGTGTCCAGGCGGGTGGCGCGACTTGAAGTTGTCTTGGTCATTGTGGCGCCTTGGGCAAAGCAGCACCGTCTGTGTGGTGTCTGGTTTAATCAGGAGCCGCTACACCAAAAGCCGAGTTAATCGCAGCCTGACGGCTTTTATCCGAAAGGTCTGTTTCATGCCTCAGTGATAGACTTTGTAGCACATTGCGTGCAGTCGCTTGTTCCGTCGTACCTATGGATGTCTGGGCACTTGCATGGGTGCATTCGTCTTTATCCGGGCATGTACCACGACAAGGACCTAGCTTAATTGTGCCGTTCAGAGCAACACAAGCAGCATCTTATGTGATGCGAGGCTTCACACGGGAGCGGCAGCAAAGTGAGCCAAGTAATTCGCAGGCTGACGGAGTTCGTCCGACAGGCCTGTCTCATTCCTTGGCGACAACTGCTGTGAGGACCGTGATCCCTACATGTGTCCGGGCGGGTGGCGCAGCTTGAAGTTGTCTTGGTCATTGCGGCGCCTTGGGCAAAGCAGCACCGTCTGTGTGGTGTCTGGTTTAATCAGGAGCCGCTACACCAAAAGCCGAGTTAATCGCAGCCTGACGGCTTTTATCCGAAAGGTCTGTTTCATGCCTCTGTGATAGACTTTGTCGGGCTTTGCGTGCTCTGGCTTTCTCCGTCAGCAACTACGCTGGCATGTTGCAAAAGGTGTAGGGTGAAGGCAGCTTTAGTCGGGCGTGTGCGATTCCAACTGACGAGATGTATGACGACAAGGACCCACTTAAATATTTGTGCCGTCCAGATACGCACAAGCAGCATCTCAAGTGATGCGAGGCTTCACACGGGAGCGGCAGCAAAGTGAGCCAAGTAATTCGCAGGCTGACGGAGTTCGTCCGACAGGCCTGTCTCATTCCTTGGCGACAACTGCTGTGAGGACCGTGATCCCTACATGTGTCCGGGCGGGTGGTGCAGCTTGAAGTTGTCTTGGTCATTGTGGCTCCTTGGGCAAAGCAGCACCGTCTGTGTGGTGTCTGGTTTAATCAGCAGCCGCTACACCAAAAGCCGAGTTAATCGCAGCCTGACGGCTTTTATCCGAAAGGTCTGTTTCATGCCTCTGTGATAGACTTTGTCGGGCTTTGCGTGCTCTGGCTTTCTCCGTCAGCAACTACGCTGGCATGTTGCAAAAGGTGTAGGGTGAAGGCAGCTTTAGTCGGGCGTGTGCAAGTTCCAACTGACGAGATGTATGCCGACAAGGACACACTTAAAGATTTGTGCCGTCCAGATACGCACAAGCAGCATCTCAAGTGATGCGAGGCTTCACACGGGAGCGGCAGCAAAGTGAGCCAAGTAATTCGCAGGCTGACGGAGTTCGTCCGACAGGCCTGTCTCATTCCTTGGTGACAACTGCTGTGAGGACCGTGATCCCTGCATGTGTCCGGGCGGGTGGCGCAGCTTGAAGTTGTCTTGGTCATTGCGGCTCCTTGGGAAAAGCAGCACCGTCTGTGTGGTGTCTGGTTTAATCAGGAGCCGCTACACCAAAAGCCGAGTTAATCGCAGCCTGACGGCTTTTATCCGAAAGGTCTGTTTCATGCCTCTGTGATAGACTTTGTCGGGCTTTGCGTGCTCTGGCTTTCTCCGTCAGCAACTACGCTGGCATGTTGCAAAAGGTGTAGGGTGAAGGCAGCTTTAGTCGGGCGTGTGCGATTCCAACTGACGAGATGTATGACGACAAGGACCCACTTAAAGATTTGCGCCGTCCAGATACGCACAAGCAGCATCTCAAGTGATGCGAGGCTTCACACGGGAGCGGCAGCAAAGTGAGCCAAGTAATTCGCAGGCTGACGGAGTTCGTCCGACAGGCCTGTCTCATTCCTTGGCGACAACTGCTGTGTGGACCGTGATCCCTACATGTGTCCGGGCGGGTGGCGCAGCTTGAAGTTGTCTTGGTCATTGTGGCTCCTTGGGCAAAGCAGCACCGTCTGTGTGGTGTCTGGTTTAATCAGGAGCCGCTACACCAAAAGCCGAGTTAATCGCAGCCTGACGGCTTTTATCCGAAAGGTCTGTTTCATGCCTCTGTGATAGACTTTGTCGGGCTTTGCGTGCTCTGGCCTTCCTCCGTCAGCAACTCCAACTGATATGATTAAGATGTAATGCAATCGGTCATGCAGACTGTCACGAAGCGAGACACTTGACGACTAAACGGATGCCATACTTAGGAATGAAGTCGAGTCAGCCATCACAAATGCTTTCGGGTTTAGGGCTTCGGGTTTGGGGCTTCGGGTTTAGGGTTTGGGGTTTCGAGTTTAGGGTTTGGGGTTTCGGGACTCTAAGTTTCTGCAGCATGCAGCAGGCATCACTTTGATAGCTGCCGGACGTGATATCTTTGCAAAAACCTGGGGGACCTCCTCCTTTGCAGAAGGCCCCACTCTGAAGGCCATGAAAAGGCCCTAAACAAGCCGAAGACTGCAACATTTGGGGTTTGGGGTTTAGGGTTTAAAGGAAAGTACCCTAAAGGAGCCCTAGAAATACCTCACTATTCTAATTTTACAAGACCCCACACTCCAAAACCCTATGCGAATGCGGCTGAAGGACGCCGGAAGTTTCTGTGGCTTGGGAGAAAGTCGGATGGCGCGCCGTGGATTTCAAGGCCAGGTTGAGGTTTTAAGGGGGTTTAGGGTTTAGGGGTTTAGGGGTTTAGGGGTTTAGGGGTTTAGGGGTTAGGGGTTTAGGGGTTAAGGGGTTAAGGGGTTTAGGGGTTAAGGGGTTTAGGGGTTAAGGGGTTTGGGGGTTAAGGGGCTTAGGGGTTAAAGGGTTTAGGGTTTAGGGCTTTGGGGTTTTAGGGTTTAGGGTTCAGGGCTTGGGGCTTAAGGCAACGGAGCTTCGGTTTGAAGGTTTATGCCTTAAAGGGAATAGGGCTTAGGGTTTAGGGCTTAAGCTTCAGGGTCTAGGGTTCAGGGCTTAGGGCTTAAGGTCGTCAAGCAGCGGGTCCTTTTTGGGGGTGCATGGGGTTCCATGATATTTGTTTGTCTGATCTTTCTTGAAACTCTTTTTTTATGTATATTAGGCCGTGAAGCAACAGTTTTTTTATACAATGGTCATCAGGGTTTAAGATTCAGGGACGGTTACACGGTTTAGGGTCTTGGAATTAGCTTTTTGGGTTTGGGTATAGGGTTATCAACCTTCAAGAGTAATGAAACGTATGGTTTCTGTTGACCAGATGCGTGTTGGTACGTGTAGCTATGGTACATAGGGGACGGTTACAGGGTACATAGGGGACGGTTACTTGGTACATAGGGGACGGTTATAGGGTACATAGGGGACGGTTACTTGGTACATAGGGGACGGGTCGAGGGTACATAGAGGACAAGGTCGACGGTACATAGGGGACGGGTCGAGGGTACAGAGGGGACGGGTCGACAGTACATAGGGGACGGGTCGCGGGTACATAGGAGACGGGTCGAAGGTACATAAGGTACGACTTCTCAGTTTGTGGCTTGTGGGATTGCGTCGGCTTGTGATAGATCTGAACCGTAGCTTCGGGCGAGGCCAGGAGCTTGGCAAGACAGGTGGCTGGCTTCTGCCGCGACTTCTGGCACAAGCTCGGGGCAGCATTGAAGGCCGCTACGTAGACCAGACACATCAATCTGTGGGAGTAGCAGATGCGTGAAGCCATAGACCATAGTAGAGATAGATTATAGCCTATATAGCAGCATAGCTAACTGGCCTGGGTCGTGAATACTTCCGTGACGGGGACATCTGGATATGATAACAGATGACTCATTCTGAGTAGTGACTAGTGACATCTAGTGACAATGATTCGGTATTGCTGACTCGATGACATGTATTCAATTGCATCATGGCTGCTGACGACGCCGTTGCACTTGCAGATAGGATTCTGCATAACACCCAGCTCCTCGCTCGGCAAGCCAGAGCAGCCGTGAATCGACAAAGAGGGCCCCGTCATGCTCGACACAGTGCTTGTGCAATTGCTCGGGCAGGCCCGGGCAATGTTGGTGTTAGTCGGCGTCGGGTCGAACCGAGAAAATGACATGATGAATGTGATAGGTCGCAAGCAGCACCGGCTGGCCAGACAATGCACGGCGTTCGTCCAGAGGTTTAGGACAGATGATGCTGTGACGAACTATTTGTTCTGATGTGCATGAACTTTGGTGCTTTCTGTCAGGAAAAAGGTGACCAAGTACAATCAGGACCATGCCGTCCGGAGAGCCGATGTCATACGACTCGATGGGCCAGGGCCGGGGCATCGTAAGCGAGGTCACGATGGAAAGATCAAGGGTAAAGGCAGGTGGGCTTGTGGGCTCCGCTCTTGTAGGGAGTTCAAAGCAGACAAAATAAATTTTGTCCGACAGGCCAGTACCGGAGTTGGACAACCGCGACATTGTTGCGTGTCTCGCGCGGACCTTATCATGTAAGAGAGACACTATAGGGAGACACAGTAATTGGCTTGCCGTGAGCCGCTGTTGAAGGTTGGGACGATCCACGGCCAACATCATGAAAACGAGTGGGGGCAAGGGGCCAAGGTTGCCCAAGCTCATGAGCAAGTCGCCGACAATGCAGCTCGTTGCATCATCAAGCGATCAGGTCAGCCGATCAGACACTGAATGAACTGAATTGTCATCAGTTACCAACACAAATTTTGTAAAGGTTTCAGTTTGAGTTATGCAGCTATCAGATCGTGCGAACGTTGGAATCTGAGGTTCAGCTTGAACTCCTTGGCATGGTGGATGGGTGCCGGCACCGATTCCATAACGAAGGCGCGGCATGCGATTTGCGACTTCTACCTCCGCGAACAGCGCCGTGGGTTCGAGGCTAAACTACAGGACAGACTCTTTCGGTCTTAATCTTAGACGCAGACGTAGACTCAAAGAGAAGAGAGTTAGGAGACAGAGAGATAGAGAGATAGAGAGAGGGAGAGGGAGAGAGAGAGAGAGAGAGAGAGAGACAGAGAGAGAGAGAGAGAGAGAAAATATCAACATAGCGGCACAGACTGAGACTTTAACAGAGAGGAGGAGGGAGAGACGGAGAGCGAGAGAGAGAGAGAGAGAGAGAGAGAGAGAGAGAGAGAGTGAGAGGAGCGAGTAGCGTGAGAGAAGCTCTCACAGTCACAGCTGCACTGCGTGCTATGCGCCATGATGATAACTACCGATTATCAGCAACCATGTTTGCGACACATTGCCGCAAAGACATTATCTTGTCGACAGATGTAACATACCGTTGCACACGTCCCGCTCTACTGATAAGGAGGCATGCCAGAATCAGAATTACGAGAGTTGGCAATATGATACTTGCCTGAAACTGTAACACTAGAACGAAGCAGACAGACTAGTCACCGTAGGACCAGACTCCATCGATTGCTTCCCTCCACATCGAGTTCGATGAGACTGGGCAGATCCTTCGCCTAAAAAACGTCTCCGGTGAGACAACTACAACAATGTCAGTTCTTGCCGCTTGCTTTCGTGAGGTTGCTTCGCAAGCGTCGTCAGTGTTACTGCTGATCGTCACCAGCTGCTGTTACATTTCCCCAGTTCCACAAGGTCTCCCGGTCCATGCTCTTGATCGCGAGACCCGAAGGGAACCGCGTCGACAGCAAATTCGCTGCTCGGCTGTTGCACATTGCGACTCCTCGCTTGCTACAAGTTGCTCACGTCCGAACTCAACTCAGGTCATCAACTCACCGGCGGTTCTTCGGAGGAAGACATCAAGGTCTCTGTGGAAGGCCATCGAAAGCACCCAACCTGTACCACCTCTCAGCAACTCAGCTCAGAGGTGGATGTTGGATTGCTTTGCGATGCTTGCAAAGTATCAATGTGTTAAATCTGCCAATCTAAGAACTGGCGAACAAATGCAGACTCTTGATTCTATGCTTCGTTTGCGACAGTGCAGCTTCGAATTTGGCTATGGTTCGCATGGTGGGAGAGATGGCTGATCCGAATGTGCTGGTAACTCCGTTGCGTCAGTTTGAATTGTCACAGTTGCCGTTGCACGAACAGCTCGTGTGACGTCGTCTATTCACCAGGTGATGAAACAACGATGCATGATGTGCCCCGGCAGTCTTGAGTCTTGAGTTGCCAGTTGCCAATTGAAAGTTCTAACTCGAATCTAACCAATAGCTAGAGCCATAGCTAAGGCATCAAGCGAACCTGACGACCGAGCAGATGTGGAAGACGTTGGGCGTGCTGCCGGGGTTGTTTCACGGACGGCAATTTTAAGTTAGCCGGCCGGTTATTGATTGGCTATGAACGAATCAACGGAGTTGAGTTCTGCTGTGGTTCGCATATGGACCGACCAAGGTTCTGTTTCTCGTCGATACTGACGCAGGGCAGCTTGTTTTACGAGCTTATTTGCCAATGCAAGCGTATCATCGAGAAAACGCTGATCATCCGGTATTCACCGTTCTGACCCCAGACAAATCAAATCCACTGCCACTGTCTTTGAAACTTGATTAAACTAGATTGTTCCAGCATTTTTGTTCTGAGGCCGACGGTGCAGCATCAGCAGTATGCAAGACAATTTCTGGAGGAGGCCATGAAACCAAGTTCGGTCCTGAGACTCGAGATGTTTGCACTGTGGCAGCGGAGTCGGCTTCGTCTCATTCACGTTTCAGAAGGTCCCCGGGCAGAGACAGATGGTGTGGAAGATGATCGACGTCGCCGGCACAATGCAGAGGTTCTGCTGGGCATGGCGAACGGAGCACAGGCCTTGGAGTGTGACCTCTGATGGTATGCAGTCGTCGAAGCTTGAAGTTTGCGTTTGAACTTTGACAGTCGATTTTCCATTTCGCCTTACTTCAGGACTGGACAAAACCTCAGATTGTTCATCATTGCAAGCTTGGATGTTGCAAAAACAAAACAGAGAGCTGTGCGCAACTTACCTGTCCGGATTGCTTCATTGTCATCAGAGCAATTCTAAGTTAATCACACACTGACCGGATTGGTTGGTCCAGGTGCCAAGCTTTGGTGTGCAATCGTGGATGTGATCCTGGCAACACGACCTCCGGTGCCAGTGCTGTCGCGCTGGCTAACTTGCGGTGACACTGCCCGTTTCGCAATGACGGGCTCTTAGGCATTTGTCATACATCAGAGTCAGAGTCAGTGGAATGAATAAGCCTGATCCAGAGCATTTCTCAGGCTTGCTGCTGGGTTTCATCAATTACTTCCACAAGCATGGTCCCTCCTCTTTGGACAGGCAGGGCGGTGCTGCAGCGGCATGCTGTTCTGGTTAGCTTGTAACTGCACACGGTGCACGCGGCAAGCTACAGGATTCATGACTCATCAATCGTCAGCCCTGGTTTTGACCGCAGACGAGCTTTTCAAGAGCCAAAGATTGAAGTGTGAGGCGTGAGGTGCGATCTAAGCATGGACCATGCGACAGCTGCCGATGATGGAGCCGCAGTGAATCAGGAGGAGGAGGTCGTGGAGAGTACGGGCGCTGATGCGGAGCAGGCCGGTACCGATGGTGCCAGTGCGGCGGAGCCTGCCAATGATGGAGCCCGCGATGCGGATGGCGGTGGCTCGACTGTTGCCCTTGATGGCTCAGTTGGCGGCGGTTCCTCTGCAGCGTTAAGCCACTTTTGAGTCACTTGAGTTTGCACTCCGAATCCGAATTCAAACCGTGTCAGGACCGGGA